TAGTGAAATTTATTAAGCAGTTTCAACCTTATTATTATTTATACCGGTTTAAGTTACATCTAATTTTGATAAATAATGTTTATTGCATTACTTTACCATCATGTGCATCGCCATGATGTTGTTGTGTGAAAGACACTGAACGCCTTTTACTTTTATATAGTTGCGTGTTTCTCTGTTTGTGGGAAGAGTTGTTTGTGATCAGCATTTGTGCTTTTGATTGTGTCTTTTTTTTGTGTAACAAATGTTTAGATGTTAGTACTTCAAAACATCAGTGTAATAACATTTTAAGTGAACAAATTATGATAGTTCACCATAAAACTAGGTCTGTCACAATAATCAATATATTGACTTATCGCGCAAAACTTTTTGGCATTGCAATACTGCATATATTTACAAATTCACAAATGACGTTAAAGCCATTTTACAATGACATTTATGCTCTACCTCACCAAAAATTTATAATTTGACATTGAACTAATAGGACATTCAATAGTATATATAATAGGACATTTAGCTTTAACATCAAATTACAGAATCTAAATAACCTTAAAAATAATAAGTATTTTAAAGTGTTTTAGGCTATTTGCATTATATATCAGGGGTATAAAATGATCTCAGAATGACAATAAGAACGCTTCTCGCAATGATTTTTGTGACAATATATCGCACAACAAAAATTGCTTATCGTGATGGGCCTACATACGTCACAATTCAGATCATCAAAAGCACACTTATTTATTAACAAATCGCACTTACAAAGGGAACTTGGCACATAGGACTCACAAGGATGTTGACACTTCAATACCGGACAATACTAATAAACTAAATAAACTAAAGTAAATAACTAACTAAAAATAATAAACTAAAGCAGCAGTATAAACACGCAAGACACGCTTAAACAAATTACAAACAGGGGTGACACAGCAGGTGGAACTCATGATCATTAACAAACAGCGGGAAACAGAACAAAGAGCTCACATGACATAAACATGCATGGAACAAACACATGAGACACCGCATGACACAGCACAGCATAGACACACCAAACAAGTGACAACATAAAACGGTGAAATTCCTTCTCCGATTTTATAGGGGGGTTTAATCAATTATTTTTATAGTACAGTGAATAGTAGAGACAGAAAAGCATTAGAAGCAAAGAGAGAAAAAGAATTGGCAAGGGACCTTGAGCCGGGCATCGAACTCAGGTCTCCGTTTTTTCTAATACTTTTTTTTTTTTTTTACAGTGTATGGATATCAATGGCTATGGATTTTCAACACTCTTTAGAGTTTCTTCTTTTGTGTTCAACAGAACAAAGAAACTCAAACAGGTTTGGAACGAGTAAAGCATGAGAAAACGATGACAGAATGCTATTTTTTGGCTGAACTATCCTTTTAAGAATGATGATACAAAACAGACGGCAGAAAACTGGCAGCATTCATATTGAGAATACGATTGACGTTGGTTTTTTCAGGATATAAAGTATGATTTGTTATGGCTCTTCTTGTCCTCGTCTGCTCTGCGAACATGAGTCTTGTGTTGTGTATATTTAAACACAGCCCCACCTCACGACTGTACGCCCGGACACATATCCCTGCAACGGTCTCAACGTTTGTTCAGATGGCAAACAAAAATGACAGAAAGACAAAAGCCTCACTGTGCTTACAGACAAAAGAGAGCCTGAGTCAATAAATCAATAAAAATAGAACGGATTATGACTTAATATTTACTCAGCTCCGGTTAAAGGACAAACTTTTGAGAAGTCAAGTTAAAAATCTTTACAAGTTGAGGCAAAACTATTAGCAATAACATGTTTTACAGGATCTGTAATAACTGTGTTATGAAATATGACTATTTGTATAAATAAAAATGTCAATATACTGCCTTTTTCCTTGCATAGTGAAATAATTTGGTAACACTTTTTCTTTTTTGAAGGTCCCTACTTTACATGTTGTTGACTAAAATTTGCATTGCAACTACATGCCAATTACTTCTCATGTGAATATTAGTAGACTGTCTGCTTAATATCTGCCGATACTGCTCCTTCAACAGACATTTAACTGACTATAAGAAATATTGCAAGTACATGTCAACCTACACTAACCCCAACCTAATAGTCTACTTATAATCTATAGAGAATTAGTTGGCATGTAGATGCAATGTAACTTAAAATCAACAAAATGTGTTAAAGGGGCTATCAAAATAAAGTGATACCATTCATTTTGGGTGCAGAGTGAACACTGACTGTCTGTGAAAGCAATCACGTAATTCAGCACAATCATAAAAACAATCTGATACTGGCCAGAATTTCGGTGATCTCACTAGTATTATTTTGTATAATAAATGTTTTTATATAATAATATTTAATAAAACAATTATTAATTTGACAATACTGACAATGTCTAAATTAAAAATCATATAAGCACATATATTTAATGTAATATTTTTGTATGACTTCCATAATGATGCAATTAGAAATAGCATTAATATTTATAATGTCATATACACTTTATTTCATGTATTTTATGGGTATCAAGTTTAGCATATGTCATTTTAATTGGTTAAACTAACTTTAATGACATTATGCAATTTCTATTCAAATAAATATATAATCAAATATTTCAATAAAATACTAATAAAATGTTGTATTTATAATGTCCTATTTAGGTAAAGCAAGCTCTCAAGCGGCCGCTTAGGGCCACAAGAAATTTGAGGGCCCCCAAATAAATACCTAGAAGTATAAATGATACTATAAATTATATACAGGGTGGGCCATTTATATGGATACACCTTATTAAAATGGGAATGGTTGGTGATTTTAACATCCTGTTTGTGGCACATTAGTATATGTGAGAGGGCTTGTAAATAATTCATGAAAGAATAAAGTTACGTTAAAACCAAGCACACCATTGTTTTTTCTTGTAAAATTCCCAACAAGTTTATTAAGGGGTCTCCATATAAAGGCCCACCCTGTATAAAAAAATTTTCTATCATATTTTGTACAGTGAGGGTCTAAAAATTGTAATTTGAACCTATTTATTACATCTGAGCAAATGTGTCCCCACCTTCAATCACTGACCAGTCCAGCAGTCAGATCAGTAAAGATTTACTTTTAAAGTTGAAATAGTTCATTTATTATTGAGTTTACATGTAAACTTTAAAATAAAATATGTTTAGTTGTAAATTCATCTTAAGGAAACAAATAATTTTAAAAGTTTTACAAGGTGCTTTGCGGGTTTTTATCATTTTGCATTAAGATAAAATGTAAAAAAAATAGATTGAATGATAGAAGAAAAAACAACTGCAAAATAATATTAAATAAATAATAGAAAAAAATACAAAAGGTGCATTTTAGAACATTTGGCCTCTTGGCTGGAATTATTTAGGACCCCAAAATCACTAAAATCGCCCCTGATTATAGTACATCTGTAATTACAAAATAATTACAGTGCTCATATTTTCTAATTAAAAACATTAATAATTAAGTTACATTTTGATTATAATTAATAAACATTTTGAATGGGTCTAGCAAACTATAATTTTAGAACAGTAATTTTCAATTGTTCAAAAAAATAAAGTCATATTTTCATACTATTGGCTAAATTAGAAACAGTTTAAACTACACAACAGAATAAATATTTAAAGCAAATATAACTAAATCAGAAATCATTTATATCAGTAACACTAAGTCACAATTCATGCTATATGAACTACTAGCTAATTACCTCCCTAATATTGATATAACCTGTTTATTAGCACTTATAAAGTACGATCTTATTCTACATCCCTATTCTACCCTAAAACCTAAACCCAACTTCTAACTATTAATAAGCCGCTAATTAGTAGTTTATTCATTGGGTTTAATAATTGTTTTTAAGGTAAGTGTTTGCAAACAATGTATATGGGCTGAATTTAATCCAAAAAATAAATTTAGTAATGTTAAACTTAGTTTGTTTACATTCAGCCTATATAAACTGGTTGCAAACACTTCCCTTTTAAAAAATGAGTAAATTCAATGCATCATTTTTCCAGTGAAATAATGGTTTAACAGCGTAAATTGTACTTAAAGTGTTGCCATCATATTTGTTATGTAGACGTTTAGATTTATTATTTTATGATAACATTACTTAGTATTTCCCCCACGCTTGCATTTATTTATCAAGTCACCTTGTTACATAAAATCGCTGAGACTGCTTTAATAAAATCTTGTTTATTGTCTAAATGAGCGGAGTTCAAGTTCAAACTCAAGTTCATGCTGGAAGATAAAGGCGCGGCGGCCATGGAAAAAACAGACCGCATGGGTTTGCACGACTCCGGCAGAGCGCCTCCCATTTTCTGGCGCTCGCCTCTGCTGTGAATGCTGTGTAATGCTCAGTGACATAACTAGGTCAGTAGAACAGCAGGTTTGAGCACTGCTCACACAGCCGGCCATGCTGCCCTGAGAAAACAACAACACGCCACGCAGAGGAGCCCCTATATCTAACATTTACACTCAACAAAATCCCTAAAAAAGTCAAGTTGTTCAGGATTTACCTGATATTGATGTTGTCAAAAGCGTGTTCGGAAAAATATTCTGTTTTAAGACGAACAATACGTGCGTCACGACACTTGGAGAGTTTTAAATTCGACAAATACTTTGATGTTGTATTTATATTTAAAAGTGTTATTTTGTAGCTTAGTTTAAAAATGATAATAATTTTACGCTTATTACGTAATTATTAAAGAGACCTGTCAAGCTCGTCAGCGAAGCTTCGACATTCTGCGTCAGTATTCCAAACTCACTTCTAAAACATTCGAACATTTAAGAATGATACATTGTGTCGTTTTGCAAACAAATAGAACGCCAAAGAACATTCGAACGAATCCAAAAGTAACAAGTGTCCGTTTGGAAAATGTCACAGGGAAACAATGCAGAAAATATACAGAATGTGAAGGAAATTACTATCCAGAATAATATGCAAAGTCAACGTAATACATCATAAAAATGCAACAAACATCTTACCTCTCATGTTGACAGGTTTCGTGCTTCTCCAAAGTTTAAATGCGTGAGGAGAAATAATGTTCGGACTAAGTAACTAACGTCAGACAACTGCCCGAATTAAAGTTTTCAGCTCCGACTGTGAGCATTGTTTGGAAAATAAAACTCCTCAGAAGTAAATTCGTGTTTCTACACTTCTTGCGCTTTGTGTGCAAAAAAATAAAGTCGCTGTCGAAGTAAGTGTGTGTGTGTTATGGCGCGGTGAGAATCGGCGTCCTCCTCCCTCTGCTCTCACTCTACCCTGCTAACCTACTTTCAGACGCGTGGACTCTCACATGATTTCGTGCCCGCGCAATGCTCACGGGGCCGCGCACCCGTCAGCGCTTTTTTAAGGAGGGTCTGGAATTCAAGAGGATTCGGGGAATTTTCGGCGCATTTTATCGAATAAACAGAGGGAAATTAATTTAATTAAGGCGAATAAGTTCCCTGAGGATGAATTGCACATTTAATCTCCTAACTAAAAAATATGTGGTAGAAAAGCGAGTCCACAGCAGCAGGAGTCATAATAGTGTGGCCGTCAATAAAGTGTATCATTCTGCAATGCATGACATAAATCATGATGCAATATTTTCATGGCTGGAGATGGCATTGCAGTTTATTTTACTTTTTTTTTTTTTTTTTTTTTTGCTGGCTTTTCATGTTTTTAGTTTTGGATATTGAGAACAAAATATAAATAAGAGGATTAGATTCATTAGTGCAAATCCACAGATAAATCCTCAGTGCATTGTCAAATGTAAATTATTAACTTAAAGGGACAGTTCTCCCTAAATCATTTACTCACCCTTCACTCGGATTTCTTTCTTCTGTTGAACACAAAAGAGGTTATTTTGAAAAATGTTGGATGCCTGTAACTACCGACTCCCAGGGCCACTTATATCAAAGTTGATATTTAGCCTAACCATACTGGTGTTTCTTGGCATCTAGTTTTCACAAGGTGGGTTGTTAGTCCAACGCTTAAACCCCAACCTGGAGGACCAGGACATACACATATACCACAGAAAATTTATCTTACCTAATTCACCCAACGAATGTCTTTGGACTGTGTGGGAAACCAGAGCACCCATATTACAATAAGTTAAAGCAACTTAAACATATTTGTTCTCTTGACTTTTGTCATTCATTTTTTAGTGCATTAGTTTTTTCAATGGAAGTCAATTCTTACCAGTTTCTAACATAAAGATAAAAACCAATTGAATGCAACATTTCAACATATTCCTCAGCCTTAAGGTTCTACAATGATCATTTTCTTAAAATAAATCATATGAAAACATTATTAATATGGAAACTAACCTTAGTTATTTCCCATGTAGTAACATACTAATAGGGAACATCCGAATACCTGCTCAGGGTGACATTTAGATAAATCTTTTCTCTTAATAACATAAACAAATACACAGGAAAAATGACAGCAGAGAGAAAACAGCAGATCAGAAAGCATCTGATCATAATGATATATGGATATGTTTCAACAAGATCTGCAGTTTACCGGCATCAACCCAGCAAACACACAACATCATAAGACGTTAACCCTTTAATATATGAGGAACCATATGGTAACTTTGTTGACTCTGATTACAATATAAATTTTACAATATAAAAGTCTTGTAATAACCTCAAGTAATACTCAATGGGTTTTCCAGTGAGAATTTCAATAAGGGTTACTTCTTAAAGGGTTAATAAAATGTAATTGCACATTTTAAGTCTCTTGGTTTTATTGCCAATCTGTGAAAATCTTGTAACAAAACTGCAAAAAACAGACAAATCCAAGACATTAGAAGTAGTAAGACCGATTTTAAACCACACTGAACTGAGCTAAACTGAACTGAACTTAAACACTAAAAACTGAACTACTCTGTTCCAATTACTATGACCATTTATGTGAAGCTGCTTTGACACAATCTACATTGTAAAAGCGCTATACAAATAAAGCTGAATTGAATTGAATTTTAACAAGGACTTGTGATGCTTTTATGAACTCATCTGTCAAAATCCCAGCAGGCAAAGAACGTCAACATGTTGTCAGATTGACAATGTACCCCAACGCTGTGGGAAATTGCATTTCGTTTATCAAAAAATCGAGTTGACATCAGAACCCAACTTCAGGCCAATGTCATTGTCCAATGTCGAACAGACGTTAAAGTTTGATAACTTTACAAAGCAACCTAAAAACAACAAAATATCAACGTCTAACAATATTACCAATATGATGACAATTAAAAGAATTTTGGTTGTAATAGCTGACGAATAAAAATTGATGTCAATATGATGTTGGTTTAAGATGTTGGCTAGATGTTGGATTTTGGTCACTTTCCAGCACAACCTAAAATCAAGAAAATATCAATGTAAATTAACGTCAGAACTGGATGTCAAAATAACATTGTCTTTAGACACAAGTGACCTATATCTAACCTAGTATTAAAAATATTATATTGACCAACAAAAAAATGAAGTTGGTAAACAATTTTCTACGGTACAACATGCTATCTATTTTGAAGTCATGGGTGTAAAAACATTAGAAATGGAACATTTAAATGCTGAATGCATTTATAACTCTAAGCAATGCCAACAATTTGTTTTATGCAAACTAAATGCACATTCATGATGTATTCTGCAAAACAGCACTTTTATTAATCAGACAGAAAAAAAAATCCCTCAGTCATGTAGTATAAAAAAAGAGCTGGCCTTGTAATAGTTATGGCAGATGGTTATGTAATCCTTGCAGGCCTGCTGGAGGCTTGAACAGACTAATTATTCATTATTCATTTATTTTATTTTAACCGATTTGTGTTGGGACAACATTAATACATTGTGTGGAATACTTCACTTTTAACAGTGTATCACCAAATGTTAGTTTTTTAAAAGTAAATTGTAAAGTATTATTTTATTTAATGGGTTTTAAAACACCATGCTTTGAATGCTCAAAAACATTTCTTATTAATATCATATGTTGAAAACACTTGTTTCCGACTGAAACCCAAAATCATACAAACACAAGTGCTACTTTAGGAATTTGATGTAAACATTTTTTGTGTAAGGCATTGAAATTACACTTATTTAAGAAAAAAAAAAATATATATATATATATTACAGTTGAAGTCAGAATTATTAGCCCTCTGAATTATTAGACCCCGTTTATTTTTTATTCTCCCAATTTCTGTTTAACAGAGAGAATAGTTTTTCAACACATTTCTAAACATAATAGTTTTAGTAACTCATTTCTAATAACTGATTTATTTTATATTTGCCATGATGACAGTAAATAATATTTTACTAGATATTTTACAAGACACTTCTATACAGCTTAAAGTGACATTTAAAGGTCTAACTAGCTTAATTGGGTTAACTAGGCAGGTTAGGGTAATTAGGCAAGTTATTGTATAAAGATAGTTTGTTCTGTAGACTATCAAAAAAAAAAAAAAAAAAAACTACAGCTTAAAAGGGGCTAATAATTTTGACCTTAAAATAGTGTTTGAAAAATTAAAAACTGCTTTTATTCTAGCCGAAATAAAACAAATAAGATTTTCTTCAGAAGAACAAATATTATCAGACATACTGTAAAAATTTCCTTGCTCTGTTAAACATAATTTGGGAAATATTTTAAAAAGAAGAAAAAAGTCAAAGGGGGGCTAATAATTATGACTTCAACTGTATGTATATATATATATATATATATATATATATATATATATATATATATATATATATATATATATATATAAATAAAACATTATATTATTTTTTTTCTTTTAAAATCTCTTTTGTTGAAATTATTGCTACCTTGCGAAATAAATTAAAACTTATAAAAATACAAATTTGAGGCCCAAACTTTTCCAAAAAAAAAACCGACAGACATAAATCTAAACTAGGTGGGCAAAGTTGGTCCTTGAGGGCTGGTGTCCTGTGAAATTTAGGTTCAACCACAGTCAGACACACCTGGGCTACATTGTAAAAAATCCGTAATTTTATGGTTTATTTCTGGCAGCTGGGGTGCCGGAAATATAGCAGCCCTTAAATTAAAAAAATTGACCATATAATAATGGATATTACATCACAGAAATTTACTAGAAATTTTAAGTTAAGGACATTTCTGTAATTTATATGCAATATTTTATGGTTTATTTCTGTAAATTAACTTTTTCTTTACAGTGTAGCTAATCTAGTCCTTACTAGGATTTCTAATAACATCCGTGCATCTGTGTTGAGGCAAGTTGGAGCTAAACTCTGCAGGACACCTGCCCTTCAAAACTGAGTTTGGGCACGCCTGATCTATACAGTTGTTCCACAAAATATCTTCATGTTGTCCCAACACAAATCGATTACGATAACTTAATTGTTTTTACAAATTTAAGTGGATTGAATTGTGGTGCTTCAGCTCATTTAAAATAAGTAGTTTGTAGAAGCAGTAAAATATATATATTTCTTGAGTGATAGCAAGACAAAGATGAATAAATAAATAAAACGAGTATATGAAATAAACGAAATAAATAAAACACACAAATGCCTCAATGTGTGCATGATTTGAGCACCTTTCAAAATTGTAAATGGCATTGATGACGAGCCGAGCAGAGCGGCGGCTGTGTGTGGAAAAGCTTGGTGATGCAATTCTCTGGCAGGGGCTCTTATGAAACACACAGAGCAGATTACAGTAAGTAGGTTAGTGGAACAAGCAGAGAGCACACAGTGCTGCGCTCAAAGCGGCTCCCTGTTTGGCCTCTCCCCCCCCTCCTCCCATCTATCGCTGTACTCGCTCTTCCTGACCGCTTCATCTGTCCATTCTTGCGTCCATCTTGAGGGGCTTTGCTCTCCTTGTCCTTTTCTGATTCAATCTGTTTATTTCCATTTTATCCTCCAGACTAGCTTGCTGCACCCCCTGCTACTCTCTGTCTTTCATCTCCCGGCTCATCTGTCTGTCTAGCTCATGAAATAAACATCAAGCCAGTACACCCATAAACATAACAGAATGCAGCTTTGTTTGTGATTGAACATACATTACAGAGGTTGTTTTGTTACTTATTCTAATACAGTGCAAAAAATATGAATACAAATAATTTTACACTCATTACATTATTAAACTACACTGTAAAAATTGCTGTAAATTTACTGGTACTTTTGGTAGTAATACTGTTAAAATAGACAAGTGTACTGTAAATTAACAATTACAATTGTGATGTAAAACTACAGCACAGTTGTAATTGTTAATTTATAGTGCGCTTGTATATTAAGCCAGTAATACTGTAAAAATTGCCAAAATACTGTAAAATTTACAAGTGGATGGTAAAACTACAGCACAGT